AACAAAGGAGAAACTCCACCATGGACAAAAATGATGTGCCCACAAATACGGACTCCAAGTCCAGTACTCTCACAAGTTTGAATGTGCTAGCTACCCATAAACCAGAGGAAGGATCCACATCCCATGCAGAGAGGGAATGTGTGCCAAGGTTAGAATTATGTGATGAAAAGCACAGAAGCGTGCCAAGACTAGGATTAAGTGACATAGCTAAATCAGGAGAAAGATATTTATCATTCCTTTTAAGCAAACAAAACCGATCATAAGAAGTCAATTCCGAATGTGGACTGGTTTGTTCACTGTCTGTTTGCATCAAGAATTCATCTTTCTTGGCTTTTTTACGACAAAAGCTACCTACCAGATCATGAATACGACATGTTTTGACACTGCCATTGTATCCCCTGGTGGAAACCATTATTAGGTTACTACCAATTAGATGATTCAGGTAGTCCTCTGCTTCATCCTCCGATACCTTCTTTTTTATTTGTTTCACAAACCCTTCAGCCATCCACAGCTGTATCAATTTGGAGACTGGAATTTCATAGTCCTCTGGGAATGCCCCAAAGTAAAGAAGGCATGGCTTTAAATGCTCAGGTAAATGCTTGTAACTCAATGCTATTACATCCATGCTCCGAGATTCATCTCCCCTGATATGTGAGCTTAAACTTTGAAGAAATTCATTCCACGAGAAGTATTTTTCTTCAATCTTTTTTTGTAGAATACCAGCTACCAAAACAACCACCAAAGGTACTCCACCACATCTTTCTGCAATCTGTCTCCCAAATTCCTTTAACTCTGGAGGGCCAACATTCTCTTTAGATAGCTTTAACTGCAGTAAATCTTGGCTCTCTTCAGTAGTGAAAAAACGAAGAGAATGGGGATCAGCACCAGACCTGGCATATTTTCCAACATCATATTCTCTACTTGTTAAGATGATTCTGCTTCCTTCTGTGCCCAAGGGAAAAGCTCTACTTAACTCATCCCATGCTTTTGTTTTCCAAACATCATCCAAGACAATGAGGTATCTTTGTCCTAGCAGTTTCTTGCGTAGCTTCTCAGCTATGTTGTCATCCCAGCTTTTACTGTCTTTGCATTTCTTATTTAAGCTTATGAGCAACGTTTCAACTATATCATTTAAGCTTTTGAATAATGTTTCCAGCATTTCTTTCCAACTATCATTCTCTTGGCACTTTTCATTTATGTTTTTGAACAACACCTCAGCTAGATCCTGTAGGCTTTTGAACAACTTCCGAACTTCATCATCTGTTCTCCAGATTTCTTTTTTGTCTACAATTTTGCTTTGGCTTATTGCACTTGTTATTTTTTTCCACATCTTAATGTCTTTGTGCCTTTCCACTGGGAATTTGGGAGACATTTCAGTGGCATCATCTCTGACATTATTGTCTTCAAAATTTACAATTAAGCTTTCATACAACGGCTTAGCAATATCATCCCAATTCTTGGTGTTTTCGCACTTCCCCATTATGCTTTTGTGCAGTGTACTAGATATCTTTTTCCAGCTGTTATCATCTTCGCTCATTTTTATTAAACTTTCATACAACACTTCAGTCTTATCATCCCTAATCTTGTGGCCTTTACACTTCCCCCGTAGGGCCATGCGTAGGGCTTCAGCAGTATCAACCCAGCTTTGCTCATCTTTGCACTTTTTCATTAAAATTTCAAGCACCACTTTATCTGTATCATCCTCACTCATACCGTCTGCAACTTGACTAAAAATTTCATGGAATACGTGGTTCTTGTCATATTCTAGAGAGACACAGCACCATGCCCGAAAATGAAACCAATCAATAACAGGTTTATGGCAAAACACCTTTCTGGCCAGAGTTGTCTTGCCGAGCCCAGCCATACCAGTAATCGATACAACATCTAGCTCTTTTGGTCCTCTAATCAGCCGGCCTGTTATTTTTTCAGTTTCATCCTCAAATCCCACCACAATTTCATCAAAACCGGGAGACGTTGGTATGTCAGGCATTGTCCCAGTGAGTTCAAAACCCTTTCTTTTAATGAGCTTAGTTTCTCCTATCACATCATGTATGATATCAGGTTATGATAAAAAGAATGAACATTTAACCTCAAAAAGTATATGGCATACCTAACTATTACTTCTTAAATCAAGAAAACCAATGAACAATACTGATTGTTGAAAGGAAAATGACTATTTATACAACTTCTGCACAACGTGACTTCACAACTTTTTAATTTTCACTGAGCACTTAATGTGTATCTTGTATCATCCAAAGTGGATTAAATAATGCCTCTTTTCTGCTATCTAATCGCATCTTGCAACTTTTTCTCAGATGCATCAATGCGGGTGAAGAGTAGTTATATAACAGGAAACAAACAGTACAGTACTGTGTTAACATCTAATGGAAAAATGAGTAATTTTATGTTCTAGTGGGGACAATAGTCGAAGGAAATCCAAACAGACAGCAGATAATAGTTGTTGAAAGCTTTCAATCACTCATGGGTTGCCAATTAATTTAAAGAATCATGAGACTTATCACAATCGATTCCAATAATGAGTATAAATTTTGATGGAAAGTTATGAGTCCAAGTAGCATTTTCTTAATTCACGAATTATCATGGGAGCAAATGATCTTTAAGGGTGGTATTTGAATATTATTGTATCATGATTTGTATGCACCTTAAATTTGGTTCAGATATATGCATAATTCTTTAAACCTAACAGACTTCGTATAAGCATTTTACTGTCAAAATCCTTGAGAAAAGAAAAAATTAAAGGAAATTCTAGAGCATGGCTTTGCCAGAATCTCTTCTGTATAAAAGTCAAGAAAGGTTCACTCACATTAAACACGCATTGTTGTCTGTTACTACAAGATCAACAATATTTCAACTAACAAATGTAGTTTCATTTCTAAAGTTGGAGGTGTTTTTGCTTACTACTTTCAAAGCTAAGAATAGAAATGAAAATTGATTAAGGATTTTTAACCTCTAAGGATAAGAGTGGAAAAAGGAAGGGAAAAGGTTTATCATTTCCATTATTCCAATCCTTTTCCTCGACTCTTCATTATTATTATGGGAGTTTCTTCAATGTTTACTCCTAAAAAAAGTTAAAATAAGGGCCTTTTTTTTTTTTTTTTTTTTTTATCACATTTCACTCTTTTCTTTCTTTTTCCAATCTAGTAGACATCACCACTGTATTTGACAATATGTAAATTATTCAACCTTGTAGAAGCAGATGCAAACACTAATAATTCATTGATATATTGGAGACTAACAGATTTGAAAGAAAAACTTTGTGCAGCAGTTTGGAGACTAAAGGGCTCACCTCAATCCCACAGCTGGCAGCCCCTCCTAGCTCCAAATTTGATAGCTAGCTTGCCTGTTGATGCTGGTTTATAACTGCAAATTAAGACAAGGTAAAGACATCCATTGCGGTTGCTATATATATATATATATACACACACACACACACACACACACACACACATATATATATATATATATATATAGAGAGAGAGAGAGAGAGAGCTTACATTTTCTTGAGAGTTTAGACAGAGAGAGAGAGAGAGAGAGGGAAAGCATATGCAGAACAAAGGTGAGTGCTTGGCTCTTTCAAGTTTCAAATATATGGAAATATGTAACAGATCACATGACACATGTGCCACCCTTTGGGGAACTATTTATTTACATAGTTTATTTCATAACTAACAAGGTTTTGTCCGGATGTGGAGCTGCTTCAGGTGCCAGCTGGAAACTAAGAGTTGACTATGATGAACTGCATCTAAGTTAGATACTATATTATGAGTTTGAGTGATCTAATTAAAGATTTAAGTCTGTAGTGAGATATACTTTACAATATATATATAATCCAAACAGAAATCATAAACTCAAAGTCAACTGTTAGAATATAAATAATATGATAGTATGATATATTAAAATAGAACTATCTGTATTAAAGTTTTATTTCAAATTGAAATATCTTGCAATTAGAGTTTGTATGAGTTATTACATAATGTACACAGGACAATTAGAATAAAAATAGCATTTCATGTGAGCCTGATCACTGAATCCTTAATAAATACAAACACAAAAGTCTAAAATGACAAAAATACAACATTAAAAACCAGAAATGGAAGTTTCACTGTCCTTTGATGCAGAACATCATCAGTAGTAGAAAAACTGAGCTTATCAATTTGAACAGAAACCATTCAAGAAATCCACCTTTCACTGTCTATTACAAATGCACTGACAAAAATAAAGAAAGAGAGGTGTTGAGGTTTATTCACTCCACCCTAAAATATCCGGGTTTAATCTGCATTTTTGCTTAGCCAAATAAGTGAGTTTTGTGTTGATAATCAAAGTTTTGACTAAATAAACAAGAACTTTCATGAGTTCAATTCTTGTCATCAATCATCAAACTTATGAAATATTTCTAAGAAAAGCATTTTGTCTTCATAATTTTCGTTTTCCGATTAATATAAAGTAATACTACAAGGTTGGAACCACTTAATGTGACTGCCATATAAAGGAGAGGGTACATTTAATGTACCCCTCTAAAGGGAGAAGTCATGCTAGGCAGTTTTGCATCGTTAGACAGATCATTTAATATTTTATTTTAGATTTAGAAAGATGAATGAATGAAGAACAAGGTTACAAGGATTAGTATCAAATTATATATGAATGCATGCATAAATATGTAATTCAACTTAAATGAATAATTTTCATATTCATCTATGTTCCATCTTTAACAATGAATACACACTAAAACCCCAATAAACTAAAAGTTTGATAGTAATGAGCACTTAATTATGTGATGACATCCCTACTCAAATGTGGGAGTGCATAGGAGCAGTCTATTTACACATAATGTTTTCTGGGAACTTGATCACTTATTCCATTGATCCTTAAAAACACAGAACATAAATGTCACAAATGACACAAACACAAACATTATAATACTTGAAAGATTTGAAGTCACTGAAGCACAAAGTACTAAACCAGAAGTGGAAGTTTTCCTTAATGCATAATATCATCTGTAACAGACTGACTGTGCTCATCAATTTGAAGAGAAACCACTGAAGAAATCCAGTTTTCAGAGCCTGTTACAAGTACCCTGACAAAAATAAAGAAGAAAGAAATTACAGCAAGTCAGCAACCATCATTTGGGTGAAAGGGGATGTGCTATGGAAAAGAGAAGAGAAGAGATGAGCATAGATAATGGAGAAGTATCTATTTTACTTACACTTTCCTAGTTCCAGATCAGAATTCAGTACGCGAACATTTAGGTTCTCGTTTCCCAGTGCCTCCATGTCTTCCTGAATTTTCTTGACTGAGCGAGCGACAGAGCTGTTGCATTGATCAATTTCAATTACTTGTAGAGTAGTAATATCTTCGAAATCAGATGGCACCTCTTCAAGATGCCTGCATTTTGCCACAACCAGTCGATCAAGTTTGGGAAAAGATTCAGCAGTGGCATTCCATCTCACAATCCTGGATTCGCATATTCTCAAGAACTTGAGTTCGCAAAAGTACCCTTCCTCAACATCCCATTGCTCATCATCAAATGCTGAGAACAGTTCAAGAGACTCAACACAGGGCAGCTCGGCAATTACTGAAATCCTATCCCATGGCAGGCGAAAATTGTGGAGTCTCAATTCCTTGAGACTTGGTGGAAAGTCGAATGCAGAGCGAATTGGTGCATTCAGATTGTCACTGGCGTAACATGCTTCCAGAGATTCAAGTTGATCAAGAAATCCCAACTCAGGGAATCTATAGCAATTCCTATACCATGACGTTGAAAATCTGCATCTAAGTTTTTTGAGATGAGGAAGCTTCCTCAACAGTTGCTCATCCATGGGTGAGGTGAATAGGACCGGGACGGAAAGGGTTTGGAGATTTAAAGGCTTTGTGGGTATACGAAAAGAATTTCTCATGTTGACGCACCAAGGACAATAGTGATCTATATGCAAATGTCTCAAACCCTCTAAATTCCAAATCATGAATATAATGGTAAATGCATACCCACACTTGATTTCACCTTGAAAGTTTCTAGGTGGTGAAGACGCTCTAGAGATGGCGGTGAAACTGAATCCCAACCTTTTAGACAAATAGCAAGGTACCTTAAACAAAGGAGAAACTCCACCATGGACAAAAATGATTTGCCTACAATTATGGACTCCAAGTCCAGTACTTTCACAAGTTTGAATGTGCTAGCTACCCATGAACCAGTGGAAGGATCCACATCGGATGCAAATATGGAAAATGTGCCAAGGTTATGTGATGAAAAGCACAAAAGCGTGCCAAGACTAGGATTGAGTGACAGAGCTGAATCAGGAGAAAGATCTTTATCATTCCTTTTATGCAAACAAAACCGATCATAAGTAGAAGTCAATTCAGAATGTGGACTGGTTTGTTCACTGTCTGTTTGCATCAAGAATTTATCTTTCATGGCTTTTTTAAGACAAAAGCTACCTACCAGATCATGAATACGACATGTTTTGACACTGCCATTGTATCCCCTGGTGGAAACCATTATTAGGTTACTACCAATTAGATGATTCAGGTAGTCCTCTGCTTCATCCTCCAACACCTTCTTTTCTATTTGTTTCACAAACCCTTCAGCCATCCACAGCTGTATCAATTTGGAGACTGGAATTTCATAGTCCTCTGGGAATGCCCCAAAGTAAAGAAGGCATGGCTTTAAATGCACAGGTAAATGCTTGTAACTCAATGCTATTACATCCAGGCTCCGAGATTCATCTCCCCTGATATGTGAGCTTAAACTTTGAAGAAATTTCCTCCGCGAGAAGTATTTTTCTTCAATCTTTTTTTGTAGAATACCAGCTACCAAAACAACCACCAAAGGTACTCCACCACATCTTTCTGCTATCTGTCTCCCAAATTCCTTTAACTCTGGAGGGCCAACATTCTCTTTAGATAGCTTTAAATGCAGTAAATCTTGGCTCTCTTTGTTGAAACACAAAAGTTGTGTCTGTAGAAATATAGCTGTTGAAGTTGTGTAGGGTTGTGTCTATTAGGATTGTGTCTCTTAGTCTGTATATATATTTATCTATTGTCTCCTCATTGAGACAAGCAAGTAATAAAAACTTCTTCTACATCTTCTTTCTCAAAATGGTATCAAGAGCCAAAAGTCAAAATTTGATTTTTTTTTTCCGGTGAACAGTACATTTACTGTTCATTCGAAATTAATTTTTCAAATTACTTGCTATTGGTGAGATATTTTATCAAATTAGTACTACAGCCGCCTTACCCATCCTCCGGCGACCATTACCCATCAATTCCGGTCGCCGGAATCTCCTCCACGCGCCACCGCGTCGCTGGCGCTCCGACACCACGCGCCGGCGCGTGAGGCCATCTCCGGCGGCCTTTTCCGGCGAGATTTTCCAGATCGTATCGTCGGCTCTCCTCCTTTCCTTCCGTGCAATCAGATTTATTTTTGGTCACGATGTCTTCCGACGGAAATTCTGATAATTCGGGTACTATTTCTCCTGCCAATAATTTATCTACTTCGTCGAGCTCTGTTTATGTGCCTAATCTGTCTGGAAACCCGGTAATCACTTCTGAAAGATTATGTGGTTCTCAAAATTACCACTCTTGGTCGGATGCCGTAGAATTATGGTTTATGGGCCAAGGTGTTGTTGACCACTTGCAAAAAGAAGTGGATATGATACCGGAAAAAGAAAAGACAGTTTGGCAAAGGTTAGATGCTCAACTTTGTAGTCTCCTTTGGCAGTCTCTTTCTCCACAATTGTTGCCTTTATTCCGGCCCTTTAAGACATGTGTCGGGGTGTGGAGTCAAGCTCAATCTCTGTACACTAATGATGTCTCTCAATTCTATAATGTTGTTGACAATTTGGTTAACTTGAAGAAAGATGGTATTGATATGGAAACTTTTCTTGGCAAAGCCCAAAGTTTGATTGCTGAGTTTGGTACACTCATGCCTATTGGTGGTACACCCGCAGAGCAACTTACCCAACGAGAGAAATTCTTTGTCATACTTCTCTTAACCAAATTAGGTCCAGAATTTGAAAGCATCCGGAATCAAGTTCTTGGAAGCAACATTGTCCCGGGGACCACCAAGTTGTTCAAACGGCTCTTGCAGGTCACCTCCATTCCGGGTACTCACACATCCACTACCGAACAATCTGCTCTAGTCACACAAGGTGGTCGTGGACGAACTAACAATCGTGGTGGACAGAAAAACACTAGAGTGTGTGATTATTGTAATAGAACTGGGCACACACGAGATCAGTGTTGGAAACTTCATGGGAGACCGGTACGTACGCAAGCAAGTGTTGCTCAATCTCAACCTGGGGAACCAAATTCTCGAACCATTTCCGCTGCTGAGTATGAAGAGTTTGTTCGATTTAAAGCCACTCCCAAAGCTTCTGGTTTAACTCCTGCAGCCTACACTGATGGAACTCATACTGCCCTTGTATCACAATCTGGCCTGAGCGGACCATGGGTTATCGATTCAGGTGCCTCTGAGCATATCTCTGGTAACTCATCTTTATTTTCTCATTTCACCAAGTCTAAGTCCCTTCCATCTATTGTTTTCGGTAATGGGTCCAAGAGTACGGCTACTGCAATTGGAAAGGCTTCCCCCCTTCCTACTTTGCCTCTCTCTTCAATTCTTTATATACCTAACTGTCCTTTCAATTTAATTTCTGTTCATCAACTTACAAAATCTTTGGACTGTACGGTCACTTTTTCTTCTGATTCTGTCATTATGCAAGACCGTCGTTCGGGGAAGATGATTGGCTCGGGGTATGAATCAGAAGGACTTTATCGATTATCTACCCCAAACCCTTCTACAGTTTGCACTGCTACCATTCCTCCTTCCCTTGCCCATGACCGACTAGGACATCCTAGCCTTAAAAAATTACGGCGACTTGTCCCTAGTTTGTCTCACTTATCTACCCTAGAGTGTGAAGCCTGTCAGCTTGGCAAACATTCTAGAACATCGTTTCCTAATCGTGTTAATAAAAGAGCTGCTTTCCCTTTTTCCTTAGTTCATACTGATGTTTGGGGACCTTTTCGTTATAATTCAATTCTTGGTTTTAAATATTTTGTTACCTTCACTGATGATTTTTCTCGTTGTACATGGGTCTTTTTAATGCAAAACCGTTCTGAAGTACTTAATGTTCTTCAAAAATTTGTTAATGAGATAAAAAATCAGTTTGGGGTGTCTATTAAAACTTTACGAAGTGATAATGCTGGAGAATACTTTACAACTCCTTTATCTAACTTTCTTGATTCAGCGGGCATCCTCCATGAGTCATCTTGTCCCGATACTCCACAACAAAATGGGGTATCTGAACGTAAAAACCGGCATCTCGTTGAAACAGCCCGCACCATGATTCTCCACTATAAAGTCCCTCCAGAATTCTGGGCAGATGCTATCCTTCATTCCTGTTATTTAATAAATCGTATGCCTTCATCTGTTTTACATGGTAAGATACCTTATAATATTTTACTTCCCGATAAGCCTCTTCATACTCTTCCTTTAAAAATTTTTGGGTGCACCTGTTTTGTCCGGGACACTACCCCAGGGCGTGATAAATTTTCTCCAAAATCCTTAAAATGCATGTTTGTTGGGTACTCTAGGTTGCAAAAGGGTTTCAGATGTTATTCTCCTGATAAGCATCGATTTTATGTATCTTCTGATGTTACTTTCTTTGAATCAACACCTTTCTTTTCGTCTAGTTTACCGACCTCCATCTCTCATTTTCCTGATGTTCTTCCTGTTCCTACTTTTCAAGGAGGGACCGAGGTACATTTACCTCAAGATCCGTCATCACCTAGAAATCCTAGTCCCTCACCTACTGAACCTCCTTTACAAAACAACGGTGTTACCCCCTTTCCTTACACTTATCATCGCCGCTCTCGACCACCCGCGACAGTTCAAATCGATGAAATCCCAACTGATTCATCTCTCGAGCTATCTATGCCCTCGAACCCGGTTCCGGCAACAAGCTCTCCTATTGCAAGTCGTGTAGGTAACAGGTCATCACGAAATCCCTTTCCCATATACAACTTTATTTCATATGATAATCTCTCACCTTCATATAATGCTTTTATCACATGTTTATCTTCTGTTTCTGCCCCTAAATCTGTTAAAGAAGCCCTTTCCCACCCTGGTTGGCGTCAGGCTATGATTGATGAAATGGCTGCTCTTCATTCATCGGGAACTTGGGAGTTAGTTTCATTACCCGAAGGTAAAACAACTGTTGGTTGCCGATGGATCTATACTATGAAAGTTGGGCCCAATGGACAAGTTGATAGACTTAAAGCTCGACTGGTAGCTAAAGGATATACACAGGTTTTTGGGATTGATTATACTGACACCTTTTCACCAGTAGCTAAAATTGCTTCGGTCAGAATCTTTCTTTCTATGGCTGCCGTTCATCATTGGCCCTTGCATCAGTTAGATATTAAAAATGCCTTTCTGCATGGAGATTTAGAGGAAGAAGTCTACATGGAGCAACCTCCTGGGTTTGTTGCTCAGGGGGAGAGTAACTTGGTTTGTAAGCTCAAACGTTCTCTCTATGGTCTAAAACAATCTCCTCGTGCCTGGTTTGGACGGTTCAGCATAGTAGTGCAAAATTTTGGTTTAAATCGAAGCAAAGTTGACTATTCCGTCTTTTATAGACATCAACATGGTAAGAGCATTTATCTTGTTGTATATGTTGATGATATTGTCATTACAGGAGATGATGTTGAAGGAATACAATTGTTGAAACAACATCTATTCCAACATTTTGAAACAAAAGATCTGGGGAAGTTAAAATACTTTTTGGGAATTGAAGTAGCACAATCCAAGCAAGGAATTTGCATATCACAAAGAAAGTATGCATTGGATATACTAGAAGACACAGGTATGATGAATTGCAAACCTCTTGACACTCCTATGGATCCAAATATCAAACTCCTACCAGACCAGGGGGAGCTTATCCAAGATCCGGGAAAATATAGACGATTGGTTGGAAGATTACTTTATTTAACTGTAACTCGACCTGATATCTCTTTTGCGGTAAGTGTTGTTAGTCAGTTCTTGGCATCTCCACGTGAAAGTCATTGGGAAGCTGCCATTCGGATTTTACGATATATTAAAAAATCTCCAGGCACTGGTTTGTTATACAAAGACCATGGAAACCTTGAAATTATTGGGTACACAGATGCAGATTGGGCAGGTGCATGGGATAGAAAATCAACATCTGGATATTGTATCTTTCTTGGTGGCAACTTAATCTCTTGAAAAAGTAAAAAGCAAAATGTTGTTGCTCGATCAAGTGCAGAAGCCGAATATCGATCTATGGCCGTTGGAACATGTGAACTTGTGTGGTTGAAAAACCTCCTTACCGAACTGCAGATTTGTACAAAGGAGTCCATGAAGCTCATTTGTGATAACCAAGCAGCTTTGCATATTGCATCAAATCCAGTTTTTCATGAAAGGACGAAACACATTGAAATTGATTGCCATTTTGTTCGAGACAAAGTTACTTCTGGAGATATTACTACATCTTTTATAGGCTCAAATAATCAATTAGCTGATATATTTACTAAAGCTTTAAGAAGTCATAGGATTGAATACATTTGTAACAAGCTTGGTGCATATGATATACATGCTCCAGCTTGAGGGGGAGTGTTGAAACACAAAAGTTGTGTCTGTAGAAATATAGCTGTTGAAGTTGTGTAGGGTTGTGTCTATTAGGATTGTGTCTCTTAGTCTGTATATATATTTATCTATTGTCTCCTCATTGAGACAAGCAAGTAATAAAAACTTCTTCTACATCTTCTTTCTCAACATCTTCAGTAGTGAAAAAACGAAGAGAATGGGGATTAGCACCAGACCTGGCATATTTTCCAACATCATATTCTCTACTTGTTAAGATGATTCTACTTCCTCCTGTGCCCAAGGGAAAAGCTCTACTTAACTCATCCCATGCTTCTTTTCTCCAAACATCATCCAAGACAATGAGGTATCTTTGTCCTTGCAGTTTCTTGCGTAGCTTCTCAGCTATGTTGTCATCCCAGCTTTTACTGTCTTTGCATTTCTTATTTAGGCTTATGAGCAACGTTTCAACTATATCATTTAAGCTTTTGAATAATGTTTCCAGCATTTCTTTCCAACTGTCATTCTCTTGGCACTTTTCATTTATGTTTTTGAACAACACCCCAGCAGCTAGATCCTGTAGGCTTTTGCACAACTTCCGAACTTCATCATCTGTTCTCCTAATGTCTTTTTTGTCTACAATTTTGCTTTGGCTTATCGCACTTGTTATTTCTTCCCACATCTTAATGTCTTTGTGCCTTTCCACTGGGAATTTGGGAGACATTTCAGTGGCATCATCTCTGACATTATTGTCTTCAAAATTCACAATTAAGCTTTCATACAACGGCTTAGCAATATCATCCCAATTCTTGGTGTTTTCGCACTTCTCCATTATGCTTTCGTGCAGTGTACTAGATATCTTTTTCCAGCTGTTATCATCTTCGCTCATTTTTATTAAACTTTCATACAACACTTCAGTCGTATCATTTCTAATCTTGTGGCCTTTACACTTCCCCTGTAGGGCCATGCGTAGTGCTTCAGCAGTATCAGCCCAGCTTTGCTCATCTTTGCACATTTTCATTAAAATTTCAAGCACCACTTCATCTGTATCATCCTCACTCATAACATCAGCAACTTGACTAAAAATTTCATGGAATACACGGTTCTTGTCATATTCTTGAGAGACACAGCACCATGCCCGAAAATGAAACCAATCAATAACAGGTTTATGGCAAAACACCTTTCTGGCCAGAGTTGTCTTGCCAAGCCCAGCCATACCAGTAATCGATACAACATCTAGCTCTTTTGGTCCTCTAATCAGCAGGCCTGTTATGTTTTCAGTTTCATCCTCAAATCCCACCACAATTTCATCAAAACCGGGAGACGTTGGGATGTCAGGCATTGTCCCAGTGAGTTCAAAACCCTTTCTTTTAATGAGCTTAGTTTCTCCTATTACATCATGTATGATATCAGGTTATGATAAAAAGAATGAACATTTAACCTCAAAAAGTATATGGCATACCTAACTAATACTTCTTAAAACAAGAAAACCAATGAACTATACTGATTGTTGAAAGGAAAATGACTATTTAAACAACTTCTGCACAACATGACTTCACAACTTTTTAATTTTCACTGAGCACTTAATGTGTATCTTGTATCATCCAGAGCAATATAGAATTTAAACCAAAGTGGATAAAATAATGCCTCTTTTCTGCTATCTAATCACATCTTGCAAGTTATGTGTCCAAGTAGCATTTTCTTAATTCACCAATTATCATGGGAGCAAATGATCTTTAAGGGTGGGATTTGAGTATGCACCTTAAATTTGGTTCAGATATATAAATAATTATTTAAAGCTAACAGACTTCGTATAAGCATTTTACTGTCAAAATCCTCAAGAAAAGAAGAGATTAAAGGAAATTCTAGAGCTTGCCAAAATCTCTTCTCTATAAAAGTCAAGAAAGAGTTGCTAACATTAAACACGCATTGTTTTCTGTTACTACAAGTTTAATTTCTAAAGTTGGAGGTGTTTTGTTTACTACTTTCAAAGCTAAGAATAGAAATGAAAATTTGTTAGGAATATAGCGGAATAATGCGGAAACGAAGAATCGAAAATTGAGAATTATAGAAGTTAAATAATAGGGAAAATATGTAAACGGAGAAAATTGTATAAAATGACAAATAAATAACTAGAATGAGAAAATATAAAATATATATATTTATAATCTCTCAAGAAGATAAAACAAAGCAAATATATAGATATATGTATTCTACGTGAGAAAAGAAGGAAAAGCAATTGGTAATGAAAGAATTGCTTACAGAATGAATTGCATGATTACAAAGAAAGCTTAATCTATTTATAATTGCAAAGGAGAGAATTATGCGGCAATTCCGAGAAGCTCCGCAATGGTCGACGAACATGCAAGAAATGGACGTGCAAACGTGGAGATTATTGCCGACAAATGTTGTCTTCATGGGTTTGAATGAATTTTAGCCACATTCTAACAATCTCCACCTTGGATCAAATTCATCGTGAGAATTAACAACCAGAACAGCCGACTAAATTCAAGCACTGTTTGAACTTAGTGATAGGTAGAGGCTTGGTGAGCATATCTGCTGGATTCTCCAATGTATGAATCTTCTGAACGGTTATATCTCCCACAGTTATAACATCTCGAATAAAATGGTATCTGACATCAATGTGTTTGGTTTTGGCATGATATGTATCATTTTTGGTGAGATGGATAGCACTTTGACTATCTGAGAACACAACGGTCTGACCTTGTGAAACACCAAGTTCCATAACCAAACCTCGTAGCCAAGTAGCTTCTTTGACACCCTCTGTGGCTGCAATATATTCCGCCTCAGTCGTAGATAACGCAGCAATAGACTGAAGGGTAGCTTTCCAACTGATAGCACAATTACAAAGAGTGAAAATATAACTGGAAAGCGACCGACGTCTGTCAAGATCACCACCATAATCAGAATCTACAAAGCCCACAATATCAGTAGATGTAGAGGAATTCCGATCAAAAACCAAGCCCAACGACGAAGTACCCTTTAGGTACCGTAGAATCCATTTAACGGCGTTCCAATGTTCCTTACCAGGGTTATGCATGTAACGACTCACAACACTTACAGCATGAGCCAAATCAGGTCTAGTGCATACCATAGCATACATAAGACTTCCAACAGCACTAGAGTAAGGAACTTTTGACATATAAGCCACATCAACATCAGACTTAGGGCATGAACCAGAGGATACCTTAAAATGTGCACCAAGTGGAGTAGACACAGGTTTACAATTGGACATATTGAATCGATCAAGCACCTTCTCAACATACTTTTTCTGGGATAGATAAAGTTTACCCGCTTGACGATCCCTGTGAATCTCCATGCCAAGAATCTTCTTTGCTGCACCAAGGTCTTTCATCTCAAACTCATTGCTTAGTTGAGACTTCAAGTCATCAACCAGAGACATATCAGGGGAAGCAATGAGCATATCATCAACATAAAGCAGCAAATAGACAAAATACCCATTAGAAAATTCTTTAAAATAGACACAGCTATCATACTGACTTCTTGAGAATCCTTGCCCCAACATACATGCATCAAACCGCTTATACCACTGCCTTGGAGCTTGCTTTAGCCCATAAAGTGATTTTTGTAGACGGCAGACACAATGTTCCTTCCCAGGAACTTCAAATCCCTCAGGTTGGTACATGTAAAGTTTTTCATCAAGCTCTCCATGTAGGAAAGCAGTTTTTACATCAAGTTGCTCCAACTCCAAATTAAAAAGAGCAACAAAAGCAAGTAGAACACGTATAGAAGTATGACGAACAACTGGAGAAAAAATCTCGTTAAAGTCAATACCTTCACGTTGATCAAAACCTCGAACAACTAACCGTGCCTTCCACCGTGCTTTCTCAACCCCAGGAATGCCTTCTTTCTTTTTGTAAATCCATTTACAGCTCAATGGGCGTTTACCTTTCGGCAATTCTACCAGCTCCCAAGTCTCATTCTTATGGAGACTTTCCATCTCTTCTTGCATAGCAACCAACCACTTGGACGAGTTGGCACAAGAAATAGCTTCAGAATAGCAGGATGGATCACCATCAACCTCCTGTGCAACTGAAAGAGCATAGGCAACCAAGTGGGTTTCATCGTCACTAGCGTACCTAGCAGGTTTTTTAATTGTCCTCCTAGGCCGATCTTGGGCAATAGAGTACTCTCGCTATGGCTCGACGAGAGGTGCGGTACTTGTAGATGCATTATCTTTAGTATTACCATTAGTGGTAGTAATACTATCATTAGGCCTGAACTCAAACTCCACCTTATCACCAGTACTCTGCGTCTCACCTGTACTGGAATCTTTTCCAGAAGAAAGTAGTGCATTTTCGTCAAAAGTGATATCTCGACTCAGAATGATTTTCTGAGAATCAGGAGACCATAGACGATACCCTTTTGACTCAGAGGCATAACCAAGGAAAATGCATTTGACAGCTCTCGGGTTTAATTTACCCGTACTGGAATGAGCATAAGCAGGACATCCAAAAACTCTTAAGATAGAGTAGTCAATAGGATTACCTGACCAAACTTCCTCTGGAATTTTGAAATCAAGGGATGAATGTGGAGATCTATTCACCAAATAGCAAGCAGTAGAAACGGCCTCGGCCCAAAAATCACGCCGTTTCCATAACCCAGCATTAGAGAGCATACAACGAGCTCTTTCCAATAGTGTCCTGTTTAGACGTTCGGCAACACCATTTTGCTGGGGTTTACCAGGCAAGGTCTTGTGCCTGGCGATTCCATTTGCCGCACAGAAGTCATTGAAATCTGACTCACAGAATTCCAAGCCATTGTCTGTCCTGAGCTTCTTGACCTTTTTCCCTGTCTGAGTCTCAACAAGTATTTTCCACTTTTTGAAAATAGGAAAAGCCTGATTTTTGTGTTTCAAGAAATAGACCCAAACCTTACGGGAAAAGTCATCAATAATAGACATGAAATATCTACAGCCTCCCATAGACTGGAATTTAGTCGGTCCCCATAAATCGGAATGTATATATTCCAATACATCTTTGGTACGGTGTGTCGCAGTAGAGAAACTAACCCTCTTTTGTTTCCCAAAAACACAATGCTCACAAAATTGTAATTTACCCGTACCTGAATCACCAAGGAGACCTTTCTTGCTCAGGAGATGCATGCCTTTCTCACTCATATGCCCCAGACGCATATGCCATAGTTGAGTGAGATCTGCATCAGACATTGATGAGGATACCGCTACTGAACCTGTCACAGTACTGCCATGCAACACGTACAAGCTTCCAGATCGAGAAGTTTTCATGAGAACAAGAGAGCCTTTTATGACTTTCAGAACTCCACCTTCAGCTATGTACTTGCACCCCAGAGATTCCAAGGTGCCCAAGGATATCAGATTGCGTTTCAAATCAGGAATATACCGAACATTGGTAAGAGTCCTGACAACATTATCATGAGTTTTAATCTGAACACTTCCAATTCCACTAACCTTGCATTGGGTATCATTACCCATCAAGACAACTCCACCATTAACTGGTTCCAGAGAGACGAACCAGTCTTTGTGAGGACACATGTGGAACGTACAACCAGAGTCCAAAATCCACTCAGTCTTGCTCCGTTTGTCACCGGAGCTAACAGATAACATAACATCGCCTTCTGAATCACTTTCAACAACACTAGCTTCAGCAGACTTCTTTTCTCTCTCTTGCTTGTTTTTCAACTTGAAGCATTCAGTCACATCGTGACCCTGCTTCTTGCAGTACTTACAGGATTTGTTGGACTTACGTCCTTTGGACTTGGATCTAGATTTTTTATTGCTACTCTCTGTTTCAAGTGAACGACCCCTTACAGTCAAGCCTTCACCTTTGTCCTCAGACTTAATTTCAAAGTCAAACTTTTCTTTGGACAATAGGTTTGACTTAACATTGTCAAAAGTAAGGGTATCACTACTATTACCATACAGCATAATTTCCTTGAAATGCTTGTACGATTTAGGGAGAGAGACAAGCAATAAAACAGCACGATCCTCATCGTCAATTACGACATCAATATTTTCCAAGTCCAATAAAACAGAATTAAATTCATCCAAATGAGATTTAATCGAAGTACCTTCCGTCATACGGATTGTGTACAGACGCTCCTTCAGGCGCAGCTTGTTCGCCAGAGATTTGGCCATATAAAGCGACTCCAGCTCAGACCATAAATCTGACGTAGTCTTCTCACTCACCACCTCACGTAGAACCTCTTTAGACAGGCACAACTGAATGGTTGAACGTGCCTTGTCATCCAAATCTTCCCAATCTTCATCTGTCATTGCAGCCGGTTTCTTCTTCTTCCCAGCTAGCGCTTTCTTCAAACCGTTCTGGGTTAGAACGGCTTCCATCTGAACCTTCCAGATAGAGAAGCTAATTTTCCCGTCGAACTTCTCGATATCGAACTTAGTAACCGTCGACATCTTTGAAAATAATTCTCAATTAAACCGCTCTGATACCACTTGTTAGGAATATAGCGGAATAATGCGGAAGCGAAGAATCGAAAATTGAGAATTATAGAAGTTAAATAATAGGGAAAATATGTAAACGGAGAAAATTGTATAAAATGACAAATAAATAACTAGAATGAGAAAATATAAAATATATATATTTATAATCTCTCAAGAAGATAAAACAAAGCAAATATATAGATATATGTATTCTACGTGAGAAAAGAAGGAAAAGCAATTGGTAATGAAAGAATTGCTTACAGAATGAATTGCATGATTACAAAGAAAGCTTAATCTATTTATAATTGCAAAGGAGAGAATTATGCGGCAATTCCGAGAAGCTCCGCCCGTGCAAACGTGGAGATTATTGCCGACAAATGTTGTCTTCATGGGTTTGAATGAATTTTAGCCACATTCTAACAAAATTGATTTTGGATTTTTAACCTCTAAGGTTAAGAGTGGAAAAAGGAAGGGAAAAGGTTTATCATTTCCATAATTCCATCCCTTTTCCTCAACTCTTCATGATTATTATGGGAGTTTCTTCAATGTTTTTTCCTAAAAAAATGAAAAATAAGGACATTTTTATCACATTTCACTCTTTTCTTTCTTTTTTCCAATCTAGTTGACATCACCATTGTATTTGACAATTTTTAAATTATTCTCCCTTGTAGAAGCAGATGATCGAAAACACTAATTCATTGATTGGAACAACAAGCATAACAGATTTGAAAGAAAAACTTTGTCCAGAAGTTTGGAGACTAAAGGGCTCACCTCAATCCCACAGCGGGCAGGCCCTCCTACTTTGATAGCTAGCTTGCATGTTGATGCTGGTTTATTACTGCAAATTAAGACAAGGTAAAGACATCCATTGGGCTTGATATATATACACGCACACACACATATAGAGAGAGAGAAAGAGAGACTATTTATATATGCAGAACAAAGGAGACTGCTTGGCTCTTTCAAATAGATGGGTTACTTGTTCAAAGAAAATAAAAGAAAGAACCAATAAAACTAAGCTGCTGGCTATTAATATATGGAAATATGTAAAATATCACATATGCCACCCTTTGGGAAACTATTTATTTATTACATAGTTTATTTCATAACTAACAAGGATTTGTCTGGAGTGTGGACCTACTTCAGGTGCCAGCTGGAAACCAAGAGTTGACTATAATGAATTGGATCTGACCAATTCAGAAATACTATATTATGAGTTTGACTGTTTGAGTGATTTTAATGACTGTAAGTCTGTAATGGGATATACTTTATAAATAAATAAATTGTTATATATATATATATATATATATATATATATATATATATATATATATTGTGTGTGTGTGTGTGATCCAAACAGAAATCATAAACTCAAATTCCACTGTTAGAATATAAATAAAATTATATGATATATTAAAATAGAACTATCTGTATTAAAGTTTTAGTTAAAATTGAAATATCTTGCAATCAGAGTTTGTCTGAGTTATTACATAATGTACACAGTAGAATTGGAATAAAAATAGCATTTCCAGTGAGCCTGATCACTGAATCCTTAATAAACACAAATACAAAAGTCTCAAATGACACAAACACAAGTACACAACATTAATATTATCACCTTGGAAAGGTCCAAAGTTAAGAACCACAGATGGAGGTTTCACTGTCTTTCCGTGATGCAGAACATCATCAGTAGTAGACACAAATGGAGGTTTCACTGTCTCAAATGACACAAACTGGGCATATCAGCAGGCCAGGCCCATCCAGGTGAAAAAGAAGTGCAAAAAAATAAAAATAGAGAAGAGATGCAGATCAATGATGGTGAAGTGGCATTGATGTATATTATCACCTTGAATGCATAATGGATTTGGTGAACTAAAGTCGCCACTTTTACATTTAGAAGTTGTACCCTATCAAAAATAACAAGTAAATAATCTCCATTAATCATGTGAATAGGTAAAAGAGAAGTAATGTTGAAGAGTTCAATTGACTTACATTTTTTTGGTTCAGAATCAGAATTCCAAACACGGACGCTGAGCTGTTCGTTTCCCATTTCCTTTTGCTTTTCCTGAATTTCCCTGACTGAACTGGCTAAAGGGCGGTTGCACCGGTTCACTTCTATTAGATTTAGTGTATAAATTTCTCCGAAGCTCAAAGGGTACCTGCAGTCCACCAAAACTAGTTGCTCAAGCCTAGGAAAGGAATCTGCAGTGGCCTTCCATCGTGCAATCCTGATGTTGCGTAATTTCAAGAATTTGAGTTCCAAGAATTTGTGATCTCCCACATTCCATTCTTCTCCCTCAAATGCTTGGTGTAGTTCAAGAGCCTCAAGTTTGGGTAGGTCTGCAATTGTTGAAATATTACTCCATGCCAAGCGAAAATAGCTTAGTGTCAATTGCTTGAGACTTGAAGGAAGTTTAAACATATGCCGACATGACCCTGAGCAAATTTCGTTATAGTAGGATGCCTCGAGAAATTCCAGGTGGTGAAGAAAGTGCAATTCAGGCAATTGGCGGTGGTAAGATTCTGAAAACCTGCAGCTCAGCTTCCGGAGATTGGGAAGCCTCATCAATGTATCCTTTTCTCTTATATGATTGGTGAGAACTGATGTGGTAAAGCTTTGTAGATTTTCATACTTCTCGTACAATTGAATTTGAGCTGATTCCTCTCGGCATAAAGGGCAGTAGTGATCTATATGCAAATGCCTCAGATTTCCCACATTCCAGAAAATATATGGTAAATGCAAATCACTATTTGACTTCACCTTGAAAGTTTCAAGATGGCCAAGACCCCCTAGTGATGGTAAGATGTAACCTTGACCTTGAAGGTGGATGGCCAGGTACCTTAAGTGAACAAGGCCTGTCCAAAAATGATTTTCCCACAACAATAGACTCCAAGTCCAACACTCTGAGAAGCTTCAATTTGTAAGTCATCCATGAACCGTCATGGATGGTACGAAGGAATCTAGAGTTTGAATAGTATCTTTCACCAAGGACAAAGCATAGAATTGTTAGGATACTAGAACTCCATGGCATCCATGATTCAAGAGGAAGGTCATTACTAATAACCCTCTTATGAAAGCAAAACCGACGTGTTGAATCAAATGCAGTACCCAATCCATCTCCAGGGTTCATTGACAGCAAGAAATTTTTCTCTTTGGATTTTGTACAGCAGAACTTGCGCACCAGATCATGAATGCAGCATTTTCTGACAATTCCATTGTATCCCCTACTTGAAACAATTACTAAGTTGCTTCCAATTAGATAATTCAGGTACTCCTCAGCTTCATCCTCTAATCTCTTGTTTTTCTGTTTCACGAATCCTTCAGCCATCAAAAGCTGTATCAATTTGGAAACTGGAATTTCATGGTCCTCTGGGAATGCACCAAAGTAAAGAAAGCATGGTTTTAAATGCTCAGGCAAATGCTTGTAACTTAATTCTATAATGTCCCAGCTCCGAGTTTCATCTTTCTCAATGTGTGAGCCTAAGCGTCCAACAAAGTCCAGCCACTGAGATGCCCTCTCTTCAACCCTTCCTAGAAGACCAGCCACCAAAACAATGACTAAAGGTAGTCCCCCACATTTTTTGGCTATCTGTCTTCCAACATCCACCAACTCTTGAGGGCATGTCCTCCCTTAAAATAGCTTCATCTGCAGCAGCTGCCAGCTCTCTTCTAGAGTGAAAAAGGGAAGAGACTGAGGCTCAGTATAATTAATCTTGGCATATGATGCAACTTGATCTTCTCTAGTTGTTAAGTGATTCTGCTTCTATTTCTACCCTTGGGCAAAGCTCTACTTAACTCATCCCATGATTTAGTTGTCCAAATATCATCCAAGACAATGAGGTATCTCTTTCCTATTAGGAATCTTCTCAGCTTTTCAGCTATATCGTCCTCTCTCTTCTGGTTCTTGCACCCAATAACTTGACTGTAAATATTGTGCATCAAGTCTTTCAGGTCATATTCTTGACACACACAGCACCATGCACGGACATGAAAGTGACTGGCGACAGTATCTAGACAATATACTTTGTTGGCCAGGGTTGTCTTACCAAGCCCGGGCATTCCAGTAATTGATATAACATCTAATTCCTTTGGTCCTGTGGTAAGTTGGTCTATTATAGTTTGTGTTTCCTTCTCAAAACCTAGAAAGTGACAATTTAGTGGACAAATCAAAATGTGGATACTTGAAGTAATAAAAGCCAATGATTCTTAGCTCCATTTTAAGCATCTCAACTTCATTGTCACTTTCTAGGCTTTCAAGACGACTGAGAAGTTTCTCTATGCTTTCGAGCAACCCTACTCTCATTTGAGGCATGTTACTAGCCCTGCATCAAAGACCAAATTTCAGCTATATGGCACAGAGATTTTGACATAAATGAAGATGTTGACACTAATGAAACAAACATTATTGGCTCGAGAATCCGAATATAGTTGTTCCCTATATTTATTATACTTATATCAATTCCAACTGCCATGACTTCTCTATGTCGTCATGGAGTCTGATCATACTTTTCTCAAACGCATCAAGACAAAAAGGCAAGACCAAAAGGATCACACATATGTCATCAATCATTTGTAATATCACATTCATGTAATTCAAGTAAAAGAATTCAAATTCCCTTAAACAAAGTCTAAGTTCAAACCTTGTGAATATAATAACATCCTTTGAAAGAGATACTTAAATGGGACCAAACAATGCTCCACACCATATCAGTCGATCTAAATGGGACTGGAGGATACTAGAGGTCAAGGTAAAAACTGATTTCAAGTTCTTTCTATCGATACAACAATTATAACACTTAATCAACCAAAGTGACAAAACATCTATACACTCGAACTCAAAATTACTTTGGATGAAATTTAAAGTCGATCAGAAATGCCTCCATACATTAATCTAGACTAGAGTATATCTCATTGGCTCAAACTAAACTTACCAAATAATAAAACAAATGAATGGAGACTAAACCTCAATTGCCAGAAGCAGGTATATGCATAGCATTAGAGCATGAGTACAAAATATTTAAAGAAAAAAAAAAGTTGGGGAACAGTATGGAAAAGACTCACCTCAGTTCAACCTCTCGGAAATTTTGTAGCTTTCAATTGATGGTGATCTTAATTACCTGTTTGAAGAGAGTGTTTTATCATATCAATCATGGATTCATGGGTAAAAATGTGGTTAAAGCTAGCAACCAACGTGTTTGACAGAAGTTTTATTAGAAGACAAGGATAGAGAGAGCACCTGCAGATGAAGGAGTACTACTTCTCTCAACTCTAAATCACTTCAACAATGGAGAAATGCAGCCATTTGACCCATTTCTCTCACTTCAGTAACAATCTGTTTAGACTTTTGATTAACACGTCGTAGTCACGTACCGCAGTAATTTAAAAGATATGTTGTGTTCGGGAAATTCTATTTACCCCACTTATTTTACTATTTGCATCACTTATTGAGTAGGTCAAATAGCTTTATAGGTGGTGCAAATACAAATTTGCTATTTACACCACTAACATTAAATGTGGTCAAAGATTATTATTTGTTTTTCATTTTTTTTGAATTAAAAAAAAAAAAAAAAAAAAAAACTCCCTCCCTCCCGTCACCTTCTCCGGTGACTGCCTTCTCACCGGAGAAGGCAACTGGGCTGCCTTCTCCGGTGAGAAAGCAGCCCAATAGGTTACCTTCTCACCGGAGAAGGCAACCCAGTGGGTTGTTTAACAAAAAAAAAAAAAAAAAAAAAAAACAATGAAGGAAACCATCGCCTTTTCCAGTGAGAAGGCTATGGACATGCCTTCTCACCAGAGAAGGCGACCCATGTAGCCTTCTCCGGTGAGAAGGCAGCCCA